TTCATGTTACCTCTGATGAAGATTAAAGGTGACCTGGAACCATAAGCTATAGCACCCCAAACCATAACTCCAACAGTGTGATGAACATGTCTTTCAACAAAAAACTGTGGATTCCTCCTTTCACCACGTCGCCTTCTAACCCTGGCACGACCATCGTGCATGCCTAAACAAAATCGAGACTCGTCACTAAAGACAATACTGTTCCATTCCTGATCCCAGAGTGACCGTTGTCTGCACCACTCAAGGCGATTACGTCGGTGTTCTCGAGTTAAAGGGAGGACCCAGTGTGGCCGGTATGAAAACAAGCCAAAACTTCTCATTCGTCGGTAAACACTTCGCATGCCAATAGGTCTTCCGTGTTCTGCAAACCATTCATTTGCAATGGACCTGGTAGTGGAGAAACGGTCCCTTAAGGCCAATAATCTTAGGCGGCGATCTTCACGGTCTGTTGTTATACGGCGGCGTCCAGTGCCCCTTGCTCTTTGCATACGGCCTTCTCGAACACCTAACCACAGTGTCTACACTTCTTTGCACTCTAACTGCAATTGCCCGAAAAGAAAGTCCAGCTTCCCGTAGTCCCACTATACGGCCCCTATCAAACTCACTAAGTTGACGAAATCGTACAGGTCTCCGTACTCTAGGCATCGTAACCAATCGTAAAGGATGTCAAGAACCAAAATCCGCCAACGTTGATTCTTTACTGCGGCTGAAATATTCATTTTTAGAGCGTTAGTGAATTAAGAAAAAGCAGTATAAAAACCGGAATGTCCAACTGATAAGGCTGGAAATTTTTTCACTTGTTATTTGCAGTAAGATAAACACATTCACCAACTTTTATTAAAATAAAACCATTTAAACTGGGTGTTCGGATTTATATGTCACTTAGTATAGAATCAAATTGCCTGATCACGATTGGGTAATCGTTGAGCGTCATAAATTAATACCATCTATTTATGCTGCTATCAAAATCACTTCCAATATGCTAGGACAACCGCAAGCCGTTGGATATTCTGGACCAACATACATCGCTATTCGAAGTGGAAAGCATAGTTCATCTACTGCTAATACTCATGCTCAGGATTTCGGGACGCTTCTCGAACTTGAAGAGTTTCGACCATTAGCTAAAACTGACCGTGGACTAGTAAAACTAGTGGTAATCATGACGGTTGATGGAGGGCCAGATGAAAATCCACGTTATCAAAAAGTCATAGGGTTTGCTATACAACACTTTAAGCGACATGATCTCGATGCATTGTTTTTAGCTACCAATGCTCCTGGAAGAAGTGCGTATAACAGAGTAGAGCGCAGTATGGCTCCTCTTAGTCGGGAACTGGCTGGTTTAATATTGCCTCATGACCATTTTGGGTCTCATTTGGATGAACGTGGCGTTACAATTGATGAACATTTAGAAAGATCTAATTTCGAATTTGCAGGAAATGTATTAGCTGAAGCATGGAGTTCAATGGAAATTGATGGCTATAATGTTAATGCAACATACTATATGTTGGGGCAGGGGAACAAGATCTTCCTGATTTTCCAGACATTAAATGGTATTCAGAACATGTGCGTGAGAGCCAATACTTGCTTCAAATTGTAAAATGTAGAAATACAGAATGATGTCGTCCAAGAAGTGGCCTATTTAGACAATAGGTTTCCTCCACCACCTGTAAAAGTAACACAAACGATGAAGGAGGACAATTTCTCAATCTTCCAGTCAATTTAGCTTTACGCTTAAGTGCTTCACTCAAAGATTTCCTGCAAATGCCCTACGATTATTTTTGTCCAACGGTAAAATTAAGGCTATCAAGTCGAACATGCAAAACGTGTGGTCTTTATCATGCTTCCGTCAAGTCACTAAATCGTCACATCGAAAATATCCATAAAAAAGTAAACACGTACACTGATAGGAAAGTTACTTATCTCTCTCATTTTTGAAATTCAGCAAATTTGTATATATAATTTCCAGAATGGATAAGAAAAAGTGTATGTAGCTTTGAATCTCAATCAAGTGTATTTGAGACAAGAACCCAATGTAATTATCATCAACACATACAGTTTACAGCTTAGACCTCCAGTATAATGAAAGCTCAGAAGCAGATTTTACATCACATCAGAGCCAAAGATTGATAACAAGCCTCATGACGTTTAGGCAACACGTACAACTAAGTGCTAAGTTGATATCTTGTGTTTTTTTTTCGTTCGTTTGTGGATCATCACTTGGCATAGTAACAACCTTGTATAAAAATTACAGCCAAATCGAAGGAGTACTTTCCAAGTTGTTAAAGGATCAGCGGACATACCGACTGACAGACGGTTTTTCGTGATGTTCATGTCGTGAACACCCGAAAAACGATCTCATTTTCGAAATTTTTCGCGATTACAATACTTGCCCGCCAGTATGTGTGGAAAGTAAAAATGGTGAAGGAGCACATTTACAATTAATAGAAATGCGCATCCATCATTTTCATAGTTCGACGAGCTCTTACACGAAGCATAAAAATGCAAAATCTACACGTTGTACAACCTCTTTTATTATTTTTCTAAAACGTCTTGTCTATATTTTGTCCTCTCCCCGTAACACTCACAAAAGGCAATTTTGTATTGAGCGACCGGCTTTTTCCGAAGGTTGTTAGCAAGTCATTGTTAGATATACCATTTTGCTTGTTTATGATGATGTTCATGAGGATATTTAAACTGTTATTGTCGCTTATTTTTTTTTGTAAGTTTAAGTTGCTATAAATGTATTGTATTTTTATTTTGTACAATGATCTCAAAAGTCTCCTGACAGTAGTTAAAAGAATTAGTTCGATATTGTTTTTATCCAAATATACCGATATATAAAACAATAGGTAATCGTTATTTTGTATGATGACTCTCATTTCAATCACGTCATAGCTCTTTCCGCTGTTTATGGAATCTTAAAAGTACGTTTTTAATTTCCTATGACTGTGCCAAAAAGTATTTGATTCATTTAGATCAGAGTTCCCCAAACTTCTTTGTGTCGTAGACCTCTTGCCATGTTTTTTCGTGTTGGGTAGACCCCCTACTTACCTGATATTTCCTGTAAATTTCTAACTGTAGTGAAGTTTAGTGTTAAAAACTTAAAGTAAAAACACATGTTAATTTATATATTTATTAATTGAATTTAAATTAAAACTACTCAAAATAAAATTTTGTATCTGTTATGTAAAATATACTAACATTAAATAAACAGGTGTCTGACCAATAAGTGGCCGCATTGGGAATAAGTGCCCACATTGAAAAAAAAATAAGAGGGATAAAATAAAAAAAGTGAAAAATAATAAAAAAAGTTTTTTACTTAAAATAGTACAATAAGCGAGTTCGTTTATTAATTATAACATAAACGTAAGTTCTACAATAATTTCACTGTTAGTTTGATTAAATTCCGCTTCATATACGTTTAAGTTATCTAAAAATAGGCAAAAAATTAACGAATTTTAGTGTGTACCTATCCTTGAATTTTCAGAATAATTTAAAAAAAAATATTTTCTATAAAGGGGGGTTCTTTAAAAAAATCAATGCGGGCACTTATTCCCAATGCGGGCATTTATTGTTCAGACACCAATAAACATAAAATAAACTATAAATAAAATAACATAAGCAATAAGTCAATATTTTTAGTGAGAAGGATGAACCTGATGCTTTAATAATAAATTATCAACATTTGGCGTCAATTTGGTAAGGTTTAATCTTAAATCTCGTCGGCTTATGATGTCCAGTCTGTTTCTTTTTTTCGTTATGAGATTGGTAACAGCGCTGAACCCCCTTTCCACTAGGTATGACGATGGAAAGGAAATTAAAAATTTCCTCGCTATATTCCATAATACGGGATAAGTAACGGGTATGTTGTTTTGCAGCCAGAATTGCTGATATCCGTTTTTAAACTGAACCTTAAGTTCTTCGTTTGTACTTAGGTCAGTCAGTTCCTCTTGTATTATGACATTTGTTTCTTCTATGTCACCATATGGATTAATTATCCACGGTGGTACCATAGTCAAAATATCCTCAAACCTAGATTCAAAATCTGAATAGAAGGCATTTAAATGTTGAACGTAAGTTGAAACGTCGTCTTCTTGGCAGCTTGTCTGTGACAAATTATGGAGCTGAGAAAATTCGCCCCGTCCAATATTTTACTTCATTGCTTCTGGCAAGAAACGCTGATAAGATGGACTTTGTTTTAAGCAAATTTAAACTGTCGCCTTGTAATTGCAAATTAACCATATTAAATTTTGTAAACAAATCTGTTAAATAGGCGATGTCTGTTTTGCTCTTCATTAAATTTTCTTTTAAAATTTTATCTTGAGTATCCAGAAATTCTAAAATAGTCTCAAAAAGTGCAAAAAAGTTTGTCAAACATAAGCCTTTTGACAGCCAGCGTACTTCAGTGTGAAGGATAATAGATGAAAGTGTTCGTCATTTTCTTCACACAACTGCGCAAATAACCGCGTATTCAACGCGTTGCTTCGGATTCGGTTTACTGCATCAATGACTAAATGAAGTGATTCATGCAATCTAACACTCAAATTTTTAGCAACTAAATGTTGTCGATGGATGACGCAATGTATTGCTAACACCCCTGACACATTTTGTTTTAAATAGCTTACAAATCCACGATAACGTCCAACCATGGCAGGTGCTCCATCTGTAGCTACTGATATTATATTTGATAAAGGAATTTCTTTTTCAATGAAGTAATCCTTCAAAACGTGAAATATTGATTCACCTTTAGTGTCGGTTATCAAAGTTCTTGCGAAGAGCAGTTCTTCGTAGATATCTTGATTCATAATAAAACGAACATATGCCAATAATAATGCTGCATTATCAGGTAAAGTTGACTCGTCCAGTTGTATAGAGAAATGGGTCGTTTGCAAATAATTACATAAGAAGCTTTCAATATCAGAACTCATTTCATCAATACGTCTGTCAACAGTATTGTTGCTTAAGGCAATTCTTTTAATGATATCAGATGCAGGTTTGTGTTAAACAGTTTTTAAAACCTCTTCAACGGCTGGCAAAATTAACTTCTCTCCGATAGTATGCGGTTCTCCGGATTTTGCTATAAGTAACGAGGTATTGTAAGACGCCCGCAAACCATCATCATTTCTTTGTGACGTCGAAGCGAACATTCTGTCCAGTTTAGGTCTCTTCTGAAATTTATCTTTGAGTGTTTGAAAGTATTTCAAATCTTTCTCTGTTTTATCAGGGTGGCATCTTCTCAGATGATCTTGCAGTTTAGATGGTTTCATAGCGTCATTGCCCAAAACTTTGTTGCATAAAAGGCACATAAGCGATTGTTTATCCGGCAATGATGGAATGAAGCCAAATTTCAAATAATCAACACTGTACTGTCTACATTTCTTCTTAGATTCGGACATGGCATCAGTCATCTGTGGGCAAAATTAAATTATTTAAATAAGACAGAAAATCCAGCAGCTGTATATTAAAAATATTTTTTTGATTTTTCCGAAAACATTCCATAATTTGAACATCTTCATGCAACAATTAGCTCGAATTACGGAGATTGCACTGTAATTATATTACCGATTGCTAAAACATTCAAAAAGAAACTATTGAGGAGTACTAGTGTAATTTTGCATGATTGAATATTTAACTACTAATAACTAAAGTCATGATTGGCGTAATTTATCTATCTTTGCTAACTACGAGTACAAAACTAAAATTTAATAAAAAATAATGTACTTACTTTTCTCCAGCACTCTCATACAAAATAACACTGACTCACTATAATTTGTGTGATATACTATCTGTTTATATTTTTTAAAATATTTTCTTAGCACTTTCCTTTTCAAGATTCAGGAAACGAATAAACGTATTTGTCCCACATTCGTATTTATAGAGTGACGAATTGAACAAGTCAGTGCAAGGTAGCGAAGCTCTGAGACTGCGACTCTCAGGTTTTTACAAATTCAAAATGTATTGCGACCACAAAGCGAATACCAACATCCTACAACTACAATTTTATAAACATATATAATAAATTTTTTACTTCATAGGTACTTTTATAAATAATGTATATGTTTTGATACTATAAGATAGTATGATGTAAGTAAATAGGTACTATCAGTGTATGTGTTGAGATCCACTATCGTGGACCCCCATATTCATTTCATGTACCCCCAAATTTTTTTTCGCTGACGTAGACCCCTTGCAGGTTGTCATAGACCCCTAGGGGTCGATATAGACCCCTTTGGGAATCAATGATTTAGATGAAAACCATACCGATCCCTCAAAGTTATAATCCATTCTCGACGAATCGAACCATTTTATGCTTTATATTGACATAGAAAAAAATACTTAGTAATAATGAATTTATTACAAAAATGTTTGTATACACACGTGTTTTAGGATTAGGTAAGTAAACAAAATTTAAAATCAGAAAAATCCAACCGTGGAAAAATGTAAACAATCAATACTTCGTTGTGCCTCAACGATGTCTTATGCATATTTGAGCATACTCTCAATAAGATGATCAATTTCCTTTTGTACCTCATGCTGAAATACCGATATGGAGTGGAGGATAGGGCAAACGGAGTAATATTCGTCCTATTGTATCCAAGACGTGTTAAACGGGTGACAGATCGGGATATCTTAAGGGCCAAGAGCCATCGACTTGATTGTCTTCAAAATGGACCAACGTAATTCTAACTATGAGTGGTAGCGCATTATTTTTTTGAAAAAATGGCTTGGTGATCGTTCGTATATAATGCAAAACATGTGGCTCCGTCACCTGCACACCACAGCTGACTTGCTTCTACAAGCAATAACCAACGATACCATCATTTCAACACTGTGATGCACATGCATTTCCATAAAAAATTGAAAATCTCTACTTTCACTTCGTCGCCTTTTCACCCTTGCACAGCCATCATGCACCCTCATTCATCACTAAAAACATATGGTTATTCCATTAGAGGTCCGTGCAGTTTTTGAAAAAATGATTGGGCTGTTTACATACAACGGCGGATCCAGGATTTGTGTCTGGCGGGGAGGGGGGGGGGTCACACTGGTCAAAAAATTTCATGTACAGGAGAATATTCTTCGTAGGGGGGGGGGGAGTTGTCCGTCACAGTGGCGGTGTAATGGCAAAATGAGTTATTATGCAACTTTCAAAGTTTCCATTGCCGTATTTTATTTGTCAATAATTGCAGTAATTTATGTTATTCGCAAAACAGTTATAGGGCGCACTATTTGCCGTCTGTCGCCGATCATACCACTGCCCCGCCCCCCCCGTGCATATTGCCGACCGGGCCCTTTTCCTTAAACCGCCACTGGTCCGTCTAAAAGTAATTTTTTATCAAATTTCCTCACAGCTTTAGCGCACGCGAATAAGTTTTACCTACATCAAGCTGACCGCATAGGCAACCAGTCTTACGCTATCATCTATGACCTTACATTTGAATCAAAGTTGACGGATGCAATGCTGCCAGTGTTTAGTAGAAAATACCAGTACGGCATCCATTTAATGTGTGCAGTATAGATTTATCTTAGAGATTTGGAACTTTAAAAATTTGTGGTATAAGTAAATTCGCCTGGGAATTGGTAGAGGTGTTTGATAGCTCATTGAATAATATGGAGAAAATCACTTGTTGATCTGATTGTACGAGTACATATTCTAAAATTGCCCATTTTAAATGCGTCTCTACTGAATGAATGATGATATGTCTGACCTCTCGATCCAAGAGGTACTCGGTTCTGTGCTTAGTTTCAAGGGAATATCTCTCGTAAGTTATCTGTTCTTTAGCGCTTAAATTCTCAATTTCTTTCTAGTCATGATTCCACTAATCATTTATATAGTGGCTATTTTTTTTCTTGGTAACATAATTACGACTTCATTGTAGATCAATTTAGAATCTTTCAACATCGCAATAATACTTTTGGTAATGAAACTATCTGAGTCTCTTGTTCACATACAACTTATCTAATTTATATCTCTAGTTCTTCCATATTCGATGAGCTAATCCTTTGAATTGAAGTTTGAATTTTCTTTAACTATGACGAAGATCAGTTCAATTTCATTCTTGATAGTTACTCATTTGGCTAACAGAGTAACTCAAACAACCGCAAATATCGCTTACTTTGAAAAGGAAAAATAAATTACTTGTTGTTTTAAACGAGCGTATATTTTTAGATAAACTTGCGAAGTGATGCTCCTAGCATACTGTAAAATAAAAAAGTAATATTAAATGTATTTTTTCACAGTCCGAAAAGTATATTTTAAAAAAGGTAAATATTTTTGTAAATTTACACCTGGATCCCTAATTTGAGATACTATTCAAAAAATCCCTTTATTTTGCAGAAAGTGCAAATGAAAATTTATTGGTAAACTCTTCACAATCTTTATGTGCCCATCTCCTACAATGTCTGTATTTTGCCCATTTTTCACCCTTCTTCGGAAAATCGACCCGTACAAAATAAACGTTCAGCATCGCTTTCATGTTGCTTTCGTCTGAAGATGAATCATCCAACTTAAGGCTTCTGCTGCATTCTGAACTTGAACTGGAGCGGGAAGGTATCTACCCGAATCCTTTTGAGGCTTTTAAATAATCCATCTCCTTACTCTTGTGTTTCCAGGCATCTGCATCGTGATACAGGGCCCTAGATTCAGATAGTCTCAAATGAGGAAAACTTGGGTATCTCAAATTAGGAATGTTCCATTAAAAAGTTTACACAAGCATATTTAGGGTATACACCTAATAAAATCACAATATTGTTAAAGAAAATAAATAAGGTATTTATAAACTACTAAATTTATATCAGACAAATTGTTCTAAATAACTTATCTTAATGTTAGTAATCACTTTTCTCGCACTATTAAAAATATGTTTAACTCTCAAGAAGTAACAAGTTGTGATGTCACAGCAAACCATGTGTAAAACTGAACTCTAAACACATGTAGGATACTACTGCGTCTTAGTTTTATATTACTAGAAGATGGTGCTACAAAGATACAAAGCTACACCACTGTCTCAAATCAGGCGCTTATCTCAAAGTTGGTTCCTTTTCTCCAAACTCATTATTACTTACTAGGTGTTCTTTTTTCTGTCATTTAGTATATCCTGTATAACCAGGTGTTAAAGATGAAAGGTCAAACGTTTCCAACCATGTAATCCAAGCACTCTGGCCTTATTTGCCTAGTTTACATACCTAGAAATATTTTTTGAAAAATGTGAACATAATGGTTTCATAGAGAAAGCTAATTCCCCCCGTTCACGTTGGTTGAAAGCTTCATACTAGGCAAATTACCTAACAACCGGCTGCTGTTATGTTTGCCTACGTTAAAATGATTACAGAACAATTGGCGCCAAATATAAATACGAGGAAAATTAATTGAGAAACCGCTTTTGTATCTAGCCAGACACTGAATTATTTCAAAAAAACAAGTATGCCATTGGTAGGTATCGTGCCTGTTCTATCTAGTCAAGATAAATAAGTTAGTGCATTTCTCTTTGTGGAATCCAGTGTTCTAATCCACACCCAAAAGAACTCGGAAAAACGCTACGTTAATAATACAGGCGGAAAAGAGTCACATATGTTTTTATCTAGTGGATTTAATTTGCAGTAAAGTACCTACTCGTAATATTATCATTGTTAATAGCACTACAACAATAGGCGGAAAAGTTCGGTCACGCTGTTGTGTAAACTCTTTTTTTGTGATGGATAAAACAAGAAACATGCTGGTCTGTGTTCTAGTTCCTTATCTAGCTTGAATAATTTGACAGTTGTTACACTCACTATTTCTTCACTTAAAGATTTCCACGAGTACACCACACGATATTAAATGAAATTTCTCCGTATCAACCTAGATATTCTCTCTTTTTCTAATTTTTGGTATTTCCTCGGAGATGTAGATTGTGACTCAGATTAAATGTTTGAAGAGTACATGAGACACTAATGATCTTGAATATTTCAATCAGATCCCCTCGTAATCTTCGCACAGCGAGTATTGTCAAATTCATAGCCGTTAGACGTTTCTAATTCATATTCAAATGTCTGGTAGTATTTTACGTTCCGATATTTCCAATAGTTCGATGTATTTGACAAAATAGGAACTCCATACGTTCAAGTGTTGGTCAAATGGTTTTTAACAGCTTTTTCAATTAAATATAACTATGATATTTCTAATTTTGTTGGTAATGTGGCTTCTCATTTTACATTATGTGATATTATCACTCCTAGGTGTTTCAGTTACTGTACATTTGCAGTTTATACCCATATACTGTACTTTTTTGCTTTGAATGACATTTGTGATTTATTATACCACTTCTTGATGGCATGTTCTGTTTAGTTTTGACCTCTTGCATGGTTTCCGAATAGCTTGCTATCATCTGCATAGAATAAAATGTTTGTTTTTATATCCATTGATAGATCTGACGTCTAAATAATGAATAGAAGAGGTCCATGTACAGAGCCCTGTGGAACACCGCTCAGCACTGGGTATGGGTTACTTAGAACTCTTACTTGGAAGATTCTGTCAGTAAAAAATGCCTCCATCCAATCGAAGAGCTCGTAGACCAAAATACTCAAGTTAAAGTAATATAGCTAGTTTAATTTAAAAAAATAATTTTCCATTTGTTAAAAATAATTGCAACGGCAGCTGATTATTATTTTTATGACGTAATTTGCTAATTTGTTTTCAAAGCTCTGTTATCTGTAGAGATATGACAGTTAGGCACCCGAAAATAAGGAACTTGCGTAGCTTTGCACACATATTTAGTCTTCGAAGAATTGCCAAGGCACCGAATAGATCGTTAGAGCTCGTCTTCCAACATTTCACTTTTAGTATTGTCCAAAATGAGGACGTCATGTTTACTTCATGCTTCAAAATTGCAAGTCTTTCAAGCACAGCCTATTATGCGCCTACGTAAACCTCTTGCTGACAATATAGGACATCCTTGACCTATGCATGCGCAAAATGGCAATATTATTTGAAGTTTCAGAACTCACGTTGCAGAAAACGTGGCAACTTCTCTCTCAGTGGTGGGTTGCATGACCATGCAGACAGGGATAAACGTAAAAGAAAACGTAACACGTGACCTTCACATAATCAGTTCAATTTGTTTTAGATGGCATGCTTTGTGAGCCAAAGAAGATTTTCAAACTGACATGTAAAGCCTGTTGAAACCGAAATATGTGTACCTAGAGTAAAGTGGGGGAATATGCCGCGCTGGTTAATACGCCGCAGCTTGTTAGCTTCCTTTTAAGTCTATATTTGGAAACAGCGTTAATTTTAACACGTTCTTCGAATGTAGCAATCTTCTGTGAATACCTCAGACATCAAATTAATTCATTTTTTAATGAATATCGTCAGTAGTATAAAGCTAATGACCCTTTAAAAAATATACTCAAGTCACGTTATACTCAGTGATCAAAGAAGTTGTTTTCAATCATATTTTAATAAGAGTATGCCGACATACGATTCCTAACCAAACTTTTTTGCAACTTTTTGATGTAATAAGGTACAATGTGGGGTAATATGCCTACGGTAGAGAGTGGGGGAGGAGAATGGGGAATTGGAACATGATGAATCAGAATTTTGTGCCTAATGCGGTGGATACTATTTTGATAAAAAAGGTCCCAAATATGATTGGTTGCAATGTCTAAAATGCCATGATTAAGCTCACAAGATATGTACTTCTTCAGACATACAGGGTGTCCCAGAAGTCGACGTCAAGCCGAAACCGGGTGATAGATAAAGTCATAACAGCTATCAGAAAAATATTTAAAAAAATTTTATGTATGTGTTTTGAAAAAGTATAGGTTATATTTCACACCCTACGGCAGTCTGTCAACTCCTGTTACTACAAATATCAACTTTTTTTGGATTTTATTTTTACAATGTAATGATGAATAATGCATCTTCAAACTGGTGTCTCAACCTTACTGCCAACTTTTCTCGTTCAGGAAAAATTGCCACTTATTTCCCAACCAAGTATTCCAAAGTAACACTTTGCTCAACTTTAACTGGCTGTACTGGAAAAAAATGTACTACGAGAGTTTGGCAAGTAACCTTAAAAGTTGGCGCATTTAATAAGGATTCCAAAATGGTATCACACTTAGAAGATTACTCGTTAACTTATGCACAATTTTTATTTGAAGAAAAACTGATGAAAATTTTTTAAAATTTACTAATTAAACAGCGATTATGAAAACGCACAAGGACCCTTAAGGATAACTGTTTGCACAACAGTGGGCGTCAAAATGCTGCTGATGATGATTTACCTTTACAGCAAATGCTCAAACTGTTTTCCTTCAGCCGCAATACACGCTTGACATCTTCTTAAAAAAGATCGGGTTATTAAACGAGCGAATCCACGGTTATTAACAAACTCAGCTGCTTCCAATAGTCTTTGCCGTAGCTCAGCTACATTTTGAATCGGCTTGAAATGCACTTTTTCTTTTACAGTTCCCCAGTAAAAAAATCTAAAGGATTCAAATCAGGTGATCGAGCTGGCCACGGTATTGTACCAGACCGCCTTATCCATCTGCCTGGAAAGTTTTGATCGTGATACTCTCTCACTGAGAGTGCATAGTGCACTGGACAGCCATCATGCTGAAACCACATGTCCCTGTAAATACTCAGTGGCACGTCCACCAATAAGTTTTGTACATGATTTTCCAAAAAATCCAAATAAACTTCAGCAGTCAAAGTCTCTGGGAACTCAAACGGACCGATTATTTTACCATTTAAAATTCCTGTCCAATGGTTTATCTTGAAGCGATATTGAGATTTATCTTATCTCATCAAATGTGGGTTTGCTACGTCCCACTCGTGTAAGTTATGCAGGTTCATGTACCCATCTTTCTTAAATGTGGTCTCATCCGACCATAATTTTTTTTCAAAGAACTGTGGTTCTTTCCTGTGTCTTTTTAACATTGTGCGACAAAAAGCGACTCGAGGCTCATAATCCCGGGGCAGGAGAGGTTGAACACGCTGTATGTGGTATGGATGAAGCACATCACTTACTTGCTATTGCACACTTTGATACCGATCAGTACTCCTTCGTTTACTGCGCATCTTTACATGTTCGTGCTTGTTGATTTCGTACTGTTACTAATTTTGGATTCGTGAACTGGACTGTTGATCGCTTGTGATTTGGATTTGGACTGTTCAATTGCTCTTCAAAACAACATTTGTTTTCCTTAGACTATCTTTGATAGTGTGATTGTGCAGTGCCGCTATGTCCGTGTACACCGCACAAGAATATGCTAACATGCATCTCATT